CCATCAACAGTAACACCACTGACAGTGACACCATCGACTGTAACAGCACTGGCAGTAACGTCATTGACAGTAACACCACCAGCAGTAACGGCACCACCAGTAACACCATCGACAGAACCACCATTGGTAATAATGCCACCACTGAAAGTAACACCATCAACTGAAACGCCACTGACAGTGACACCACCAGCAGTAACACCATCGACAGTGACACCATCAACAGTAACAGCAATGGCAGTAACATCATTGACAGTATTACCATCAGCAGTAATGGCACCACCAGTAACACCATCAACAGAAACTCCACTGACAGTGACACTAGCAACAGTAACACTACTGACAGTAAGAGCACTGAAAGTAACACCACCAGTTGTAATGGTACCACCACTAACACCAATAACACCGCCAACATCGACAGTAAGACATTGATAGTAACACCACTGACTGTATCGTAATAAACAACAACATCCAAATTGGCCGTTTAAAAATTATAATATTTCAAACGAAATTGTAGCATGTAGATATTACTCAGTTTTTAGATGTTACCCCAGGTTTTTATAATCCACTACTGTCACCTGATGGAGTTTTGCTTCTTTGTCACTGTCACCTTTGGCTTGCTTAGTTGGGGTTTAACATAATATTCACTTAAAAGACATGTAATATTGCCAATTTAACTACACTGACATTGTCAGATAAGAATAGAATTAATAATTCTAAACTGACTTAATCTGGAAAATGACACTAACTTTGCAGCAACATAAACATCATGACACTGATTGGCTAATGGCACTCCATCCTTTTGGTGCTATTGTATTGCGGTAACACTACTGATATTAAAAATAGTTGACAATTGTTTATTACTCTAAATTGTTAAATACAATTTTATTTATTTAACTTTTTAGTTATGTTGTATAAATAATCTTTGTCAGAAACTGAAATTATACAATTATACAACAGGCTTTTTTGCTTCTTTATTACTTTTTTAAACTGTAAATTGTCTCTGATTATGAAGTACTGACATATTTTAATACTCCAAAACATAAATTAAATTAAATTAAATATTTCAAAGAATAATTACATATATTAATTAAGTAAAAAGTCATATAGTTTTGGAATTACATAAGAATGAGTAAATAATGACAGAATTTTCATTTTTGGGGTGAACTATCCCTTTAAGCAGTTTAGCTGAATCAGTTTAAAAATTTGAATCATTCAGAGGAAACCCTAACTAGACTGTCTTAGGAATATCAACACCGTGCTGCCGTGCAACCATGTAAATATCATCCCTGTGAAAGCCAGAGCTAAAGCCGTGCTGTTTCATTTTCACTGCACCAACAACTGCAGCAAGCCACAAAGTCACACTGACCTATTCAACACCTGTGAGCTGTAACACAAGCCAATAGCACGAGTACCACACATGACAACAGCATTATGCAGTCGCTCTTATTGTGTCTTGCTTGCCATATTTTCCAGCAGAAAAAAAAGTATTAAGGGACAATATTCCTGGGCCATGAGGGAGGTATATGAGAGTCACATGATGGCCACTGATCAACTTTAAGTGCCAAAGGTTCCTGGATTATGAAAATATCCACAGCTTGAAATAACATGACCTTTGATGAAGTGAACATGGCAGTCAAGTCTGTCTGTCTGTGTGTATGTGTGTGTGTGTGTGTGTGTGTGTGTGTGTGTGTGTGTGTGTGTGTGTGTGTGTGAAAAAT